GGGCCATGCCAATAGCCCAGACACCTTCTCCGTGCTGAATATATATATTCTGCCCGAGTATTTTGTCTTCTTTCGTCTTCAGGGAGTCTCGGGACGCTACAATTACTGTAGCATCCCGAGAAATTCCTGAAGACGCAAGCAGAGATAATACTAAGGTAAATTGTAAATTCGGCGTACAGTGGGGACTAGGCTACTGGCATAGCTCAGAAATCACTCTACTCGGCAAGTGCACAGTAGGGTCGATCCAAGTAGCTAGGTAACCGAAAGTGACGGCGGAACAATCAAATGCAACATTATAATCTCTTGTTTGCAGGTCTGAACATTTCCATCTGTATAAATCGGGTGTTAGATATTTCATAAGCGCCTTCTAAAACCACGTCTTTTATTTTTAGAATGTGCTGAATTTTCACAACCTATCAAAATAGGCCTATATTGTGCTAGCGACATGAGCGCCCATCTAGAACTAAATAGCTGAAATATTTTTTCAGGAATTTGCTTTAGAGTCTTGCTTTTAAGGTTTTACACCAGACAAACCTTTTGCTTGGTAAATTAAGGTCCTTGATAAAATACTTAATGTTATTGTACAGAGAACGCTTAGTTCTTGCTCGGGTAATATGTCCAATTAATCGAACGCCGCAAACATATCTAATTAGAAGTTTCAGGAACCATTCTTACCCATTTTTCATAGAAAAAACTTTAATGCAGCCCTTTTATAGATTGCTAATTAAGCTACAAAACTGTAAAATCTATGGCTTTTAATTGTTCGTCGCCACACTCGGCGGCAATTGCGCGCTTTGTAATTTGTTAAGTATGATAGTAAGGCTTCGACGCTCGGAGTAGGCTCCCCTTTTAGTTCTTTATTTGATGTAGTACAGGTGTGGAAGAATGGGGTTTAATCGAACTTCAGGGTGAACTTATTGATAAGATTGATGGTCGTCTCAATGGCAAAGTTGTCGGTGACTTGCACTTTACACTTCAGGTATGAATTGCGTATTTTTTATCGCTTTTCCCAGAATAAACCCGTTTTCATTATTGGCCACCATATCCTTCATGGAGAAGTTGTCGAGCTTCCTAAACCGTTTGCAGTTTTGCGGCGGGTGCTGGATGCCAGCGGAGTAGAAATCGTAGTCACTGCCGTCATTAGAAAGAAGCTCCTTTTCCGATCCCGACCCGAGCCTATTATTTGGACTCAAAAATCGTAACATCCGCGGCCAGCGTACTTTTGCTGTACAATGTATGATTTGACAACCGTCAATAAGCATTCGTTATTAAGTCTTGTGAAGCGTGCAAGGGCAGTTTTTTAAAGCGGGTCGAATGTCGGCTTATAAACTAGTCAGTTCTACCTCAGTCACTTGCTTTTCGTAGAAGCATGTGACCAAGTCCTCATGAAGGTTTCACCCGGTAATAGCATCTCCCCACCCACTAAGTAGATGCAAGGGTCAAAAGTTACTAAATGCGGCGGGGTGTTTTCCCATCTACGTAGGTGGATTCCGTCTCCTGGTATGCATTCCACATTTCCTTGGGCGCTCTTTAGCGTGGGTTTCGCTTAGCGTCAATTTGTGATATGAGCTTTGCACTGTCCCAAGTGTAAAGCAGCGCCATTCATATCGGATCTCGGGCGATGCGAATCTAATGAGCAAGAGCTAGGATGAAAATTGCTTTGTGTGAACGTTGGAAGGATTTGCGGTTTCTTCGTCTATTTAGTCGGCCTTGTTTTATTATTTGGTCCTAGGTTTTTGCACCTTTTCTCTCGCTTGTCGTCAATGGCAGACGGGCTGTGGATGCGGGTTTTTCAATTTAAAATAAGGCAATGGTTTGCTCCCATCACTTCTCCTGCGGTTTGTAGGGCTGTTATTCACTAAAGCAGGAGAGCTTCAAAACCCGAAACAGTTGTCTATGTTACCAGAATCGGCAAATAAGATTTGACTGACTGCTTCAAACACTAGAAATTCTCTAAATCAACATCAGTACAAGCCAGTGCACTTCTTGGAAAAAGTGCTTGCGGGTTCAATAAACAGACTGAACGCCTTTATACTTGGCATATCGCAAAAACCAAGAAAGTGGTGTGCACCCATTGATGAGTTGGCAAAGGAGTGGGCGAAACCACCACATTCCACCATTAGCAGGATAATCCCTATCCAAATTTAGATGCGCTGTGTTGCTCTTCCATAATGGTGAAAACCTGATTCCCACTGTTAGCAAACAGTAAATGATTCCAGCTTATTACACATCCACATGACAAACTCGAGGATGACCACCTCAAAGGGAGCTACAGCACAACTTGAATATCTTGCGAGGGATCACATAAGAACAATGTGGATTCATTCAATGCCACAAAGCACACACAGTCGAATAATGGTGAAGCGGTCCTATTTGTAAAGAGGTGCCTCCTAAGAGGAATCGACATGGCAGAAGTCTAACGCGCTGAGATATTGCAGAGCACACAGCACACTATATTCTCCAAACGTACGAAAATCATAAATGGAGTTAAGCCCTGATGCCAATACGTGTGCACGCGCCTACGAAGACTCCTCATTATCCTCTTCCGATTCGGATTCACTGAGATGTAAGTAATTGGCCATCAGAGCGCGCTGCATTGAGGCCGATGGCTGCGAGGTGGTGGGACCCTTCGAGATCGACTGCTGCTGCTGCTGCGTAGCGGGGGGAGGAGCAGGGGTAGGTTTGTCGTCCAGCTCGCTGAGACTCGAAAGACTGGAGGGTTGTCGATGACGCTGCTTCTGGAGAGAGTTAGTGAGGCTCCCGGATTCGCTAATGCTCGAAGATGAGGAGGACGAGGACGAGCTCAACGTAGACCGCTTTAAATTTGAGGAAGGTGGAGGACGCTGATCGGGAGGGGAAGTGCGCTTCGGTTTTGGAAGCCGGACACTCGATTCGGAACTAGATTCAGACATGGTCCGAACTTTTGGCTTGGAAGGTTGATTGGGAGCAATGGCGGACTGTGAGGGCAGTGAGGTCTGGGTGGAATCACTTGGTTTTTTGCTCGGTGGGCCATCTCGAACATTCTTCAGTTGTGCAGCCTTGGATATCCGCTCCAGAGTCAACTCACCAGTCTATAAAAAGAGCGGACTATCTTAAGACCTTCTCAAAAAACTGAACAGTAACATGAAAGGAAGCTACGCACAGTTTTGTTGTAAATAAGAAGGCATTCTTTTTGAACAGGACGTATGTTACCCTTGAGTAGAGTAGAAGACTGTTCTGCACCAGGAACATTAGGTAGCCGAACGTCAACTTCTTTTTCATTCACAATTTTTATCGATCCTGGTTGCTCTCTATCAACTGACGCTGGTAAGAAGTCACATCTCATAGTCATGAAACAGTTCTGTGAAGGATCTAGAAAGCTTCGACCAAGTTTAACTTCGTATTTCCCTTGAAGAGGCATTGCTGTATACTCAAAATGAAAAAATCCAGAAATCTGATGGCCAAAAATGTTGTGGTCGATGGGAATTACGGAAAAATCTACGAGACAAATGTGCAAACAATCGCAGAACAGGTAGCCCTCAAATCACCCGGCGTTCAATTGGCTTAGCTATACGCGAAGTAAATGTATTTAGTATTTTAAAAAATTTGCTTTGAAAAAAGTTCTAAAAGCATGTTCTGAGCTAAGTTTTGCTCAAGGTAAATAAAATGCCTCTCTTAGCCAGAAAAAGCGACCCTCGAACTTGACCCAATAAGTCCGGAAAGGGAAAGAAAATATTACTAACGCACATGCACAACCAACAAATCAAGCAATATTTGACAGAAGAATCTTTGCTTTAAGGCAGCAGCTTTGATATTGACAAAGCAGTTAGGAAAAACAATAGACTTCAATGTCTCCCCTGAGATGGTAACGTTTATACATTCTACAAACGTTCAGAGAAGTTGGGAGGGTACTGA